GGAGGAACCTGAGCAGGATTAGAATCCAACAATCCTATTTTACAGATGAGCTGACTTGCCCAAAACAGTGTATTTTGAGGGCCTAGGAAACTCAGGTCATGGGCACGTTGGAATCCGGTTGGAAATTGAGGGTAGGCCCTGGAACACGTTTCTCATCTGTAACCTGGGATATTTTGAGAGAATAAGAATATCATTCCAGTCAAATGCGTGGTGTATTTTGGCACAGGGAATATCCGTCCAATAAATGCAAATCTGTTCATTCTATTGAGGAAAGCGCAGAGTTTGCAACTGGCTCTCCCAACTTTCCACCTAAGACTCCAGCCACAGTTCTTTACGTCTTTAGAAATTAGCTGCCTGGTCTCCGACCAGCCGGCAGACGTGGGAGAGCAACACCAATGACATTCATTTTCGGGTCTCTCTTCCCCTCAAGGGGGCAGAGGTTCGAGGGGGTGGTTGCTGTTTTCACTTATTGCATCTTTATCTCCACCAGTCACGGCTCAGGGAATGTGTGTCGGCTGAAAGCGTGAATTTCTCTGCTGCGTGTCCACCACTCTCTCGACTCGGCCGTGGGACTGTGGGTACAACAGTGTTTCTTGAGGATCAGATGAGACATTTCGGATGTGTGAGTGAAACGGAACATGGGTAACTGAGGAAGGGCAAGGGTTTTCTAGGATGTGTCCCGGGCTCCAACACTGCGAGGACCCGCTGGGTCTTGGTGCGCACAGCAGCGGGATAGGGTATTTTCTTTTGTTCCTAAATCCTAAGTTGGGTTTAAAGTCCCAGGCCAGCCACCTGCTGGCTCTGCGACCTCGGGAAAGTTACAAAATTCTCTCTTCTCTCTGCCAGTTTCTCGAACAGAGGCTTTTCTCATCAAAGTTACATGAGTGACGCGTTTCCCCCGCGTAGCTCAGGGCCTGGTGCGTAGTAAGTCTCATTAAACAGTCGGGTCTTTGGCCTGTTCTATGTGTTGATGACTAGAAATGACGATCTGACTTAGTGGGTGCAGGTTCCAAACACAGGTTCTGTGTCTTCTGTCCCAAGGAATGAAGACTGAGGGTGGACACATGACCTGAAACCCACCTCCCGCCTCCCCTCGCCCTCCTCACAGCCACTGGGCACCACTTATGTGGGGAAGAATCGGCCACATAATTACACTTCCCAGCAGATGGAAGCCAGGCATTAAAAAATACATTTTCTCTCTGGCTTTGCTTTTATGTTAATTAAAAAAAAGAAAAAACACAACAGAGGGAAAAGCAATATAATTCTACAAAATATTCTGGCACTAAACTGTTTTATGGAGACTAATGGCTCATTACGATGCTATGCTCACTGCCATGTGCTGGGGGCTGGGGGTCCCTGTTCCGATGCATGTGGTTGTGTAAACAAGGCAGCGGGTTTCCCGAGTGAGAAAGAGCATGTTCACGCTCGCCCACCGGCCGCTGCGCAGCTCGGGGTTGCCCAGCCCCGCTGGACGGAGGACCCAGCACCCCCCCTCCCCGTCCAAGAACCATCAGGATCCACCTGCTGTCCAGAGAGCGACTTGCTTTCTTAATCCTATTACGGGATTTGCAAGCAGCTGTGCAGTTCTCCAAAGAGGCAAATTTATTTTCAGGAAGAATTGTAGGTGCAAATGCAGAACTTCTGGGGTCGCATAAAACTGTCCTTTTGAGGGAACAGGCGCAGAGGAGGGACCTGGCTGAGTGCTCGCTGGAGCTGAGCGGCCAGCACTCTGAGGGGGAGGGAGGGGAGCCTGGAGATGACTTACGGGGGCTCCTAGCACAGGACACGGTTCATCCATCCACCTGGTTCATTCCTTACTCAGAGCTGCACTGGGTACGACCACGTGTCACCGCGGTGGGTACTGGGGCTTTGTGGGGACAGGACACAGAATCTCTGCCCCCTTGGAGGCAGCAGGACCGTAGGGCATCTGGGTAGCGGAGGAGCCAATGTTCCGAATTGATTATAGATTTTCACTGGGCTGATTCAGCGACCAAGGGGAGCGTGAGGTGAGGTCCTAGGGAATGCGAGGGGCTCTGCCCCTGGATCTCTCAGGGGACCATCGAGGGGGCTTAGCTGAGGCTGATGATGGGAAAGAATGTTCTGGGCTGGAAACCGCAAGTGGAGAGGCAGTGAGTGGGAAGGGGGTGCTCTGGGACCAGCCGAGTCTCTATCAGAGGCCAGGGGCTGGCACAGGGGCAGAGAGGCCGGGTCAGGTCGGGCTGGCCACAGATCTTCGCGTTGAGAGCAGGCTCCATCCGTGGTCCGTGAAATCAACTCTGTGAGCTTCAGGTTTCATTTCAAAATAGGGGCAGTGCCAGTTACACCAAGTCTCACGTCTGGATCGAAGGAGGTGGGTGCCCGCGGCCGGGGTGGTGCTGTTAGGGTTCCACATGTAGTTTTCCTACACCGGACTCGTCTTTAGATTCTCCCCCCACCAGCCAGCGCCTGGGTAGAGTGACACTCAGAGCGAGCGAGTGAGCGAGGGTGCCGCGTGGTGGCCCTGAAGGGTCGGCAGGAGCTGGTGGGACTTGGGAGTGAGGAGCGGAAGTTGGGGTCCCACTGGAGGGCAGGGAAAGATGGGAGCAGCGTCCAGGCGAAGCGGCAGGTGGCTGCTGGGAGGCGGCAGGTGGGAGGGAGGGGAGAGGACGCCAGGTGACCGGGTGGGTGGCAGGACATGCCCGGGGCTGTCGGGGCCATGCTCAGACTGCAGACACCGGCAGAGACACTTGGTTCCCACAAAGCCCCAAGTCTCGGCAGCTTAATCAAGTCTTGACATTTGAAATTCTAACTAATTTTTGGGAAATAACTTTTCAGATTCTCATCATATAGCACTTGTTCAATGTGAATAGAAATAATTGCTTTGCGAGAATAATTAGCATGCCCAAGAATAACTATAGACTTTTCCCCAATTTTACTTTTAGATAAATGTCAACCATCCTCCATAAAGTTCACTTGATGTCTTTCTCCTTAAGGATCATTAAGAAGCGGTAAAATATGACAGAGGTGCCGGGCATGCAGGGAAATCGTGAACATGTACACGGAAAAAACGCCAAGTTAACCCAGCTGAGAGGAATTTCTCAACAATCATCTTAGTTACCAAGGAAAGAAAAGCTACTGATACTAATTTCACCTGAGTGGTGGTGTTTTCCCCAGAGATGAAATGCTCACCCTTCTGAGGGGCCCTCCCAGGTCTGAGCACAGGGGCTCGGAGACCAGGTGGTGTGGGGGCCACGTGGCAGGCTGGCTGCTCAGTGGGACCCCGTGGGGGCGCCTCGCCCGTCGGCGCAGCGTCCTCGGCTCTGCAGGGAGACACCGTGTTGACCGCAGGGGATGATGGGAGCTCGTGGGAGCTGCTCTATAGGGTCCCAGGAAGCCTCATGCCACTGGCACCGGGTGGGCCCTCGGTAAAGGACATACACCTGCTTCTTGCCTTTCCCTTCTCAGGTAAAGGAGCTGGGCTGAGTGGCGGCTGGAACCCGGACCCTCATTTCTGCTCCACACTCTCCCCAGTTACTGGTGCACCTGTGGGGCGGGGTCTCTGTGTTTTGTTGACCAGGGCTCATGGACAGGTGATCCCACAGAGCACTCGGGCCTCGTTTTGACCAGAAGAGAAAGTCCTGGGGCTTTAGTATCACTTTCGATGCATCACAGCTCCCCGGAGGGTCAAGTGGAGCCCCATCAGCCCCGCTGGTCTCCTGTGCCCATTACCCGTCAACCACGCCCCGCACCCCGACCTTTAGGCCAGGAAGTGCAGTGACAGTTTGTCATTTTAAATTCTTTTTAAAAACTGATTTTAGAGAGAAAAGAGACAGGGAGAGAGAAGCATCAACTTGCTGCTCCACTTATTTGTGCTCCATTGGTTCGTTCCTGAATGTGCTCTACCCAGGGGTCGAACCCGTAACCTTGGCGAATCCGGACGATGCTCTAACCAGCTGAGCCACCCGGACAGGGCCAAGTATGTGTCATTTTAGATAAGAACCTTGCCTGATGCCACTGTGACCACTTAAGCACACCCATCAGGCCACGTGAATATAACTGGGCTATTTTCCCCACGTTCCCCCAAGTTCAATGCCCTGACCTGCTGCTAATGCCTCGTTCTGACCACCTGGTGGCCTTCCCACCGTCCTGGGCTGTGCTCATCCCCCGGCCTCAGCCCTGCCGCACTCAGGCCACACCGTGCTCTGTGGTGGGGCCGCCCTGCGCATTATGGGATGTTTCCAGCACCCTGGCCTCTACTTTTCAGATGCCTGTGGACAGTCCCTGTCCCCTGTAGGACGATGAAAATGTCTCCAGATGTTGCCAAATCACTCGCGTGAGAACTAGTTGTTCACACTTTATCTTTTTTCCAAATTCTGAATTTTCTTTCTTGAGCACAAGGCCAATGCCACGTCCTGAGGTGCTCAGGAAGCTTACTCTGTGTGGTTATTATTTTAACATCACCAACATCTTCCTTTACGTAGGATTCCACAATTTACCCAGTGCTTCCACCCCCGCTGTCCCCGGAGACGAGTGCGAGGCCGCCCACCATCTACGACAGGTTAGCAGAGAGGACCCTCTTCCCCGTGACCGTCCCTCTGTCCCTCTGTCCCTCTGCCCCTCTGCTCGGAGTCCTGCGTGTTGGACAAAAGTCCTCCACAAGGGAAGTGCCTCCGGGACAAGGCAGGCGCTGCGCACGGGGCTCTGGCTCAGTCTTTCCAGGGATGTAAGAAAAAGAGAGTCACCTCGCAACGCCCCCCACCTCTGCGGCAGGGCCCCCCACGTCCCGATGTGCGCATGGGACTATCTACCTCAACTGCACAGCGGCGGCTTCAGTGAGGACCCCAGGCCCCAGAGCCCCTGGCCTGTTAAAGGGCCTGACAATGAAAATTTCCAGCCTGAAGGAGCAGCTGCAGCCCTCGGGCTGTGCCCAGGGAAACCAGCCGGCGTCTCTGAGAAGGAGAAACGAGCGATTCCCTCCCTTGTCCTCCTCCTCCGGCCCCGGCCCTGCCCCGGCCCCTCACCTGCTTCAGGATCCCGGCGGCCGCCCGGTGCGAGCAGTCGAAGATCACGTAGAACTCCCCGCCCTCCTTCATCTCCTTGAGCAGGGGCTTTGCGTCCTTGCTGCCCGAGGGCAGCTGCCGGATTTTGATCTTGATGTCGTACCGGGAGGGAGCTTTGATGAGCTCTTGCAGGCGAATCAGACCTAGGAAAGTCCAAGGGATATTTGTTTATTGCCAATTACAGCCAAACCCAAGTCGTCCCCAGGATGCACCGGGAGGCCACCTACGCGAAGGTGACACTGCCGACCTCTCCCTTCTCGCCTCCTTTCCCGGTGGGTTATGCCGTTTGCCGCTTGTGGGGGCGCGTGGCCGGGAGACACGCTTTCCCAAGCGCATCCTGAACTCATTTGGGTGCCACTGTCTCCTCCGTTTGCAGCCAGCACCTCACATTCTTAACAAGTCTGAACCTCTAACGCTTGTGTCCATCAAAAAAAATTGCCTGACGTTTCCAAAGGTGCTCGATGAAGCAGGCGACACCTGCTCCCTTAAGAAGCCACCGAATCCTGGAATTTCTCGGGGCTGTGAGCCTCTGCGGGCCACTCATCCGGTTTCTACGGAACAACTGTTGGCCGGCTCATTAGTCGGGCGGCTCCGCGGAATCTCCCTGTTCTTGCCGTAGAAACTCCTTACAAATGGTTCATCCTGTTTCCTTCCTAACAGGGTTGCATGCTGAACTGGGGAATCCTTTCTTGATGAAAAAAAGAGAGGCCATAAAATTTTTAGAGATTATGATGATAAAAGTAGAAATAACGTTCCTTAAAACCGCACTATTGGTAATTGGAGGAAAGTGTATAGAGCCAGCTAGGGCGGATGAGAATGTCCGATTTGCCCGAGTGGGACTCTGTGAGCTGAACCGGGTTTATTTGTTTTAAATATATATTTTTTATTGATTTCAGAGAGAGGAAGGGGGAGAGGAAGGGGGAGAGAGAATCAGTGATGAGAGCCATCGATCGGCCTCCTGTGTGCCCCACACTGGGGATCGAGCCCCAAACCTGGGCATATGCCTTGACCAGGAATCCAGCCGTGACCGCCCGATCATGGCTCGATGCCTAACTGTTGAGCCACACTGGCCAGGGCTGTAGTTGTTTTTATAGTGAGAGAATCGCAGACATTAGGGCAAACGTGGCCACACGGTAACTGCTGTATCTGGAGGAAGGCTGTTTAGGGTCTCATTGCACATTTCTTGCAACCTTCCTCTAAGTTTGAATCTTTCTAGAGAAAAAGGCAAACCTGTAGCTATAAAATAACCTCGGTGCCTCCCTTTCCCCCCTCCAGTGCCAGGAATGCACTTAGAAACCTCACCTTTGGTTTGGGAGGTGCCTTAGAGCAAGGGGCCTGCTGATGACACACGAGTTTGGGCCGCGCTCTGCGCATGGAGCTTTCGAAATGTCCCAATGGCCCTGGCGGGTGTGGCTCAGGTGGCTGGGAACCGTGCCCGGCACCAAAAGCTTCCGGTTCAATTCCTGGTCAGGGCGCACTCCCGGGCTGTGGGCTGGATCCCCCTCGGGGGCGTGCAGGAGGCAGCCGATCGATGTTTCTCTCTCCCTTTCCCTTTCTCCGTCTCTAAAAATCCATTAAAAAAAAATCTTTTAAAAAATGTCCAAATGGCCACTTCTGAACACTTTTTTGCTCTGCACTCAGATCTGACAAAGAGAAGCCCTGATTGGCATGAACATCGGGCGACCCTGGAAAAGGGGAGCATGTGCCCAAGAGAAAAAGACTCTGCTACTTGCAGTGAGCATTGAAAGTTTCCCAGGACTTCTCCTTAAATAATAAGCTCTGCTGTTTACTTCGGCCGTTCTGTGAAGGATGCCACGTGCCTTATAAACAGCTCAATGAACCTCGGAACACACCGCTGAGGCGGCCGGTGTCACTGCTATTTTACAGCGAGGAGAGGGAGGTGCCGTGGGGTTAATTGTTTGGACTGGCCCTGAGCGCCAGCCGCAGATGCCAGGAATTGGAGGGGACCTTCAAGGTCAAATTCTCGATGCCTGGGCCCCTCCAGACGCAGCTGCTGGGCACCCGGGCTCGAGAACCTGTCTCCCTACGGCGGCAGCTCCGTTCCCCCCGGACAGCGTCAGTGACACTTAATGAGCGTCAGTTCAAAAGGAAAGCGCTTGGCTTTTCCTGAGTCTTAATCCAATTCCCGGTTCGTTAAACCACAGCAGTGGGGTTCGGGCCGTAAATAGGAGTGTGATAAGCCACCGGGACCCAGGACAAGGCTGTGCGGTTTAAATGTTAATTTCTTCTCCATTTGAACTTAGAAGCAAGCGAAATGGCATTTCCCAAACTTGAGGGTGTATTAACATTCTCAGAGCTAGTAGGATTCTTAAGGGGATCTACGCGTGTACCCCCGGGGAGTGGGGGAGGAAAGGCAGGAACAGGGGAATGGAAATGGGTGGGCGAGTGAATCACCTGGGGGAATACAAGGCTTTTACGTGCAGACCTGCATGCCTACGATTTGTAAGAGGTGCCTCACAGAGAGGCGAGGCTTCCCAAAGATTGGGCCCCTTATTCGCAAAGGACCTCATAGAAGAGGCCCTGGAACTAACACACCTGGCCGCCTGCAGCACCTGGGGACTGGCTTTCCCAGCAGAATCCTGGAAATCTGAGTAGGGTTCTGGCCAGGAGACAGGTGCGTAAATGTGAAGGGAGGGAAACGGTGAGAGCAGAGGAAAACAGCGAGTTAGAAATGATCGCCTTGTTGGCACGGGAGCCGAGGCCTCTCCGCCCCCAGCCTCGTCGGGGACTGTGAGGAGCAGAAGCGTTTGGCTTGGCCCCCGTTACAACAGCACAGTGGGGGAGTCGTGGTTGTGGAAGGTGAAAAATTCGCTTATTTTCTTCCCGACTCTGATCACGTGCAGAAGACCTTTCATTTCGGCTTGGCCGTGTCTCCAAAATGTTAATCTTCTCCCAGCCCAAATGTTAGGCCTCTGTCAAGATTCTTGGTTCTGGACAATATACGTTCTGCCTGTTTTCCAGGGGTACATGGAGGGAAATATAATAAGGTAAGAAATCTAAGTCACCGTTTACATTCAGACGTAAGAGCTGCCGTCTCTCCTGTTCACGGGGAGCAGTCAGACCAGGCAGGGCCCACGGTGCTCGGGTATTTACGTATCGTGACGTTTGAGGCGATTTCCTTTGGGTTTCCTCCCTGGATTCGTCTCTTTCGATGACCAACGTTTTGTGCGTTCGTCCCATTTCGGTTAATCCTCACGGTGAGGCTGGGAGACGGCTTTCACGTGAGAGCCAAAGCTCTTTGTAGGAGCCTGTACGCTAGAAATCTCGGGTCTGCTGTGCTGAGAAACAGGGCGTAAGGCAACCGCGGGTGAAAAGAAAACCCCCGAGGGCTGCGGTCGTTTCCTTGGGGGCCCCGCCTAGTCCCCCCTGGATCCTGCGGTCTCTCCAGTTCCATCTTCAGCCCACACCACGCGCCAGCTCCAGGAGACGTTGCAACCTCGGCATTCGCGTGCTCCTCCGGTTGGCTCCTCCCGTCCCCGGTGAGGGCAACTCTTCTCGGGTCGGGACAAAAGGCTTCGCGCCCGGCCTTTGCCTGCCCCTCGCGCTCTCACCAGCCTCCATCCCTCAGCCTTGAGCTCAGCTTTCAAAATGTTCCCAGCCCTGGCGGGTTTGGCTAGGTGGTTAGAGCCTCAGCTCGAGGGCCGAAGAGTCCCGGGTTCGATTCCGGCCAAGGGCACATACCTCGGTTGAGAGCTCGATCCCCGGCTCCGGTTGGGGAGTGTGGGGGCGGCCACCAATCGATGTGTGTGTCTCTCTCTCCCTCCCCTTTCCACTCTCTCTGAAATATCCTCAGGCGATGATTAAAAAAAAAATTCAACAAACAGAAAAGCTTCCAGAATCCGACCCTCTCTCGCCCCTGGGTTGCCACCCCTCCCTCTCCAGGAGCCACCTTTTACCCGTCTCCCTGTATTGTCAATAGAGCGACCAGAGTGACTGTTCTTGATGTAAATCGGATCCTGTGGCTCCTCCCACTTCATGAGGAGCAGCAGCTCTTGGGGCCTACAAAGCCCCCCAGGATCGACAAGGCTCTCCTCTGACCCCCCCACCCCAGGTCCAACCACGCGGCCTCGTGCTGGATGTAGCTGAAGGTTTGTGGAAGCACCAGGCCCACTCACTCCGGCTGCCCAGGGGAGCAGCGTGCCTGTGACTGAGCCCGGTGGCCCACGGAGCTCCAGCTACGCCGTCTGGCCTTTAGAGAAGAGCGTTGGCTGAGCCCTGATCCAGGGAAGTGGCTGCACGTCACTGATTTTGGCTTTGAGAAGCGGAAACGGCTGACGTCCCCCCGCCGCCCTCGGCGCTCAGCCTCTGGGCCCTTGGTGAGGCGTCCACCACGGGCTTAAGGAGCAGCGATGTCTCCCTGCCCCGGTCACCGGAGGGGAGCAGCGGAGAGGAGGTGACCGATGGAGAGAGAGCGGGAGGTGGAGCGAGCGAGACACGACTCGACTCCCCAGAGTTCTCAAGGGGCTCCCTACATTTCCACCTCTAGGGGACAGGACTGCCTGCTGGTGTTCAGTGGACTGAGTTTCGTCCTTAGGAACAGGCACAAGCTCCCCTTGACTACACTGGGGGGCACGGCCCAGTCAGTCCCACAGGTTTCAGGCTCATTAACAGACTCAACAAATCCCGACAACGTGCTTCTTAATGGGAACCGATTCCAGACGTGAGGGTGGGTGCCGAGTGCACCTACGTCCCTCCTTTCCCGTCAGGTTACTAAGTTTTCTCTTTATGGCTTAATAATCGCTGCAGCCAAAACCCTGAGTCAGGCCGCCTCAGAGCCAAAGGCCTCTGCTGCTCCTGGGCTCGTTGACCTGTGTGCCCTCCGGCTCCAATTTAACTGCTCGATCGATTAGTCCTTTACATTTTTAATGTCTTTTTGGGCAAAACCTTTTAACATGAATAATCTTGAACTTAATGGGCAGTGTACTAGCTCACTTTGGATTTTCAGTTTCAGCAAGTGTGTGTTGGGCAGCTGAGCTCAGGTGAACCCAAGGAAGAAAAGACCTCAGTTTCTTGTCGAAAGAGAGCGAGGCCTGGCCCGAGTGGCCGGAGGTTCTGCTGTAGGCAGTTAGACTCAGCAGAGCCAGGACCACAGGCCAGGTAGAGAAGGTCGCCAGGGCGGAAAGCCCCAGGTGCCTAGCAAAGGACAACTGTAGGGCGGGACCTCCCCCCAGGGCGGCCTTTCCTCCCCTAGCGCGTCACTGGTCATGCGGTTTGGACCCCTGACCTTTCCTCCCTCGAGATAGCATCTAGGCCCCAGTTGCATCTCAGCTCCAGGCCCAGAAAAGCAGCAGAACCAGCCTCGGCTGACCCAGGACCAGCTGCACTGACTAATAACCCCCTGCCCTGGCGCCGACCAGTCCACCAGTGGAGACCACAACCTGAAAGGACCCACCTGGAAAGCTGCTGAATATTCTGAGACCTTCCCCTAAGATCTCCACCCTTAAAACCCTCAGGGTGGTGGACCCAGCGCTGTTCCTCCCGGGGACACGGCTTCCCTTCCCCTTCCCGTTTTCTCCCCCCCCCCAGGGGTGTCACCTTTACCTGCCTCAGTCCCCAGCTCCAGGGGCCCTTCCTTTACCTCTATACCTGGTTTCCTCAGCCCACGTTGTCTACAAATTACTTCTTCCACCTGTGTGGTTTTATAAATAAATGTTCTTATAGTTTTAGTCTTGGCTCTGAATTCTGTCCTAGTCAGACTCAGGTACCGAGGTTGCTGAACCCATCCCGCCGCCCACAACAGTCAGAGCGTCGGCCTGAGCACTGAAAGGTCTCGGGTCCGGTTCCCGGTCAAGGGCACGTGCCTGGGCTGCAGGTTCAGTCCGGCCCGGTTGGGGCGCATTCGGGCGGCAACCAATGGGTGTTTCTCTCCGGTGAACGTTTCCCTGCCCCGCTCCCTCCCTCCCGCTCTGAAAGGCGATGGGGAAAGTCCGCAGCTGAGGGGCAACAGCAGGTGATAGAGATGACGGCTGAATTGTTCTCTCCTGCAAAACGGCATCCCTGCGGGCGCTGCCCCGACCCCAGGGCCGCGGTTAGGTGTCAGCCTCTGTGTCACCTTCTCACAAGCTCTGTTTTGTCTCGGTGCCGTCTGAAGTCCACACTCCGGTTGGCCTCTGTCTCAAGTGGAATCCAGAACCCTGACGCCATTTACTGATTTCCTTTCCTTTTATTATTTATATTTTACACTTCTTTTTTATTTTTTTAAATTCATCTTTGTTGTTGAGTATTACAGATGTCCCCCATTTCCCCCACTGACCCCTCCACCCCGCTCCCATCCCCTGCGTGTCGTCTGTCTGTGGGTTGTGCACTTACGTGTGTAAGTCCTTTGGTCAGTCTCTCCCCACCCCCTCCCCTCTGAGACCCCCAGTCGGTTCCATGTTTCTATGTCTCTGGACCTATTTTGTTCCTCGGTTTATTTTGTTCATCAGATTCCACTGTTCATCAGATTCCACATGAGTGAGATCGCGTGACACTTGACTTTCTCTGACTGGCGTGTCTGTTCTCCTTGTCGACGGCCCTGCTTTGCTGGAGAAGGTGCAGCCCGAGTGAGAAGATGACCCTTAGCGTCCACTGCGCGGCTCGGAAGGCGCGGCTCCATCGGCCGTGGGATGAGCCCGCCGCTTGCAAAGGGAGGCAGCACGGAGACCTGACTGCACCTCCACTGACAACGTCGCTTCCTCAGGCTCTTGGTCTGTGCTGGGCACCCACTCGATGACATGTCCTTCCCCAGCACGAGCCGGTGAAACTCCAAAGGTGCAGCAGCCAGTAGGACTGCTCCGAGCATAACATCTACACAGTCCATATCAGTTACCTTTACTTTTTCCCAAAATGGGATGGGGTATAAGAAAATGCACATATGCATATTTCGGGCCAGAATAGTCTCTTTTATCCAACAGTTTCAAGTTAGTGCCAGGCAGAGGCTCGGTTCACCCGCTGGGGGATGGTCAGTGTGGATGCGGGTGGAAGGGACGTGAGAAATGAAACACTATTAAAATGAAAGATTAAAAAGTTTAACCGGCTTTGCTTTATTAATTTTCTCTGATAACTTTATTAGTCTTACTATCAGGTGTGTATATCAAAGAGTGGAGCTAATTTCAAGCCTTGGGGAAAAATTTCAGAAAGTAAATACAGTCGTCCCTCGGTACCCACGGGGACGGGTCCCAGGACCCCGTGGACATGCAAATGGGCTGCTGCTCGAGTCCCTCGGATACAGCGGCCAGGACAAGGCCTACATCGGCCCTGCATCTGTGGGCGCCCAGCACTGCCTCCCGCATGACCCCCGCAACCAGGTACATGCCCTTGACCAGGAATCGAACCCGAGACCCTTCGGCGTACAGGTTGATGTTCTAACCACTGAGCAGCACCGGCCAGGGCAAAATCCTTTTAAATTTGATGAAAAAAAAATCACTCCCCCAAAGGAACTGGAATTCTCTAGAATGGGGCATTCCTGAATGGGAACGCCCATCAGCTTCCCTTAAAGAGCCCTTCAGGCCCCACCAGGCAGCGACGCTGCAGGAGCTCAGGCTCCGCCCTCACGGCCAGGTGCGTCCTACCTGTGCTCTCCTCGTACACCACGGTCACGGCTCTCCAGTTGTAGTACAGGACCAGGTCCAGCACCGCCCTGCTGATGGCCGTGTGGTCCGGGTACAGGTTGATGTAGAAGGAGTCCCTGGTGTCCACCGAGGGGTGTTTCCAGCGCGTCTGTATGTGCGGGACCTGGAGGGCGTTGCAGATGGACTGCACGGCGCTCACCGAGGAGCTGTGGGCGGGGCCGAAGAGCGCAGCCACACCCAGGGCCAGCTGGTCGCAGGCTGCCCGGCACAGGGGGAGAGAGGGCAGGACACGGGAAGAGACAGAGAGAGAGGGCTGTGAATTCCTCCTCCTTCCCAGACTCCTCTCCGTCTGCACGCTCCAGCCAGCGTCCAGGGTCCCTCAGATGCTAAAATACCCAGGATGGAAATGTAGGACAGACGAGAAACTCACCACAGGTCCACCTCCCTGCAGATCGCACTGAGGCTGGTCTCGGGTCACTACCTTTCACCAGGCGGAGCGTAAATCCCTCGCCTGGCAGGGTGACACCGGGAGCCTCAGAGCCAGTCTACAGCCCTTTGCTAAGCAAAGGCCCGGGAATGGGGTGTGCCGTGTGCAGGTGGCAGAGAAGGTATTGACGTGTCCACAGAAGCCAGGAGACGCCCTGGGTCACTGCAAAGTGCTCTCGCTCCTACTGGGAAACTGCTAAAGAGCATTGAGCGAGACTGATGCCTCCTTAATTACAGGGAAATAGAACAGCACAGCCTTTGGAGTGCTGGGGGCATCGTGTGTCCACGAATATCATAGGCCGTGGAGAACGTTGGGGACCCAGCTCCGGTCAGGCCTCTCTCAACTCATCACCAGTCAATACGTAGCCTAAAACCGTATCAACATGTGTTTAAAAATTAATTTATAACTCATTTATTTTTATCAATGTAAGATTATGTACCCCGATCGAGAAAATTTGAAAAGTGTCAGGAAGAGAAAAGGCTGTGTAGTTCCATCATCTGGGGATAATATCTATTTTTCGTGTGTTCCATTTTATAAAAAGAAATCGAATCATTATACAGATACAGTTTGGTGCACTGATTTCTTTATTTAACACTGATCTGAACACCACACATGCCTTTTCCCCATGTGATTACGAATTCTTTAGGTGTATATTTCTAGTGTTTGCAGAACAGCCCATTTCACGACTGTGTCATTTATTTAACTAGTCCTATGATACCGAATATTGAAGCTGCTCCTAATCTTTGGCTATTACAAGTAATAATACAGTAGTTATTTTGTTCTTATATTTTCATCTGAATTTTATATCACTTTCTTAGAGTAGATACCCAACTGTAATGAAAGGGTATTGACAGTTTTAAGTTACTTGATATAAATGAATCAGATTCCCTTCCAGAAAGGTTAGGAAAGAGTATCTTCTATAACCATGCAAAATAGTGCCTACTCATTTTATGCTAATATAAATTTATGCTGGCATTAAATATACATTTAAAAGCATTTCAAATTTATACTTTAATGCTGGTCTAAAGGAATTTGAAACTGCGGAGAGATAATTGAGTATCTGAATTAAATTATAGCAGAATTTATAAAGAAAATTGTGTTAATATTTTTGATAATGTCACTGTACAAATAAAAGTAAAGAGGAAACTATATGGCTTAGTCAGAATCAACTAGATTCAGACAGAAAAATTCATGAACACAATCTGAGAGACATCTTCCAAATATCCCTGGGGCAGTGACGCTGATGGTCAGTCCCTCACGAGGGGCCTTCCTGCCCCTGGGCGCTGACCGGCCACCTGAGCCGTGCAGACGGGTCATTTTCTGCACTAAGCTGCAGGTGTAAATGGCCACTGTCCTCAGAAGCTCGTTATTCTGGAGGTGTTTTCTCTGGTTAGCAAGATAGAACGAGAGCATAAGAGAATATGGGCTGTTGTTTGGTCTCGTGTGAGCGATGGATTGAGGTTCCTGCTAATATTTAGCTCTGGGAATGCTTTTTGCCTGCAAATTACTAGTTTTAAGAAGCTTTGGGGGTGTTTAATTTATAAGTACTGGCAGGTGCTTCTGATCACAAAGAAAGCTTTCAATTTCATGTGGGTTGAAGCACCATTTTTAAATGTGGCTGGTTGGCTTTCTGAGGTGTTTACTCAACAATGCTTGTGTGCACATAGCTGGGTGTGTCTCACACAGGGACAGGGAGTCACAGAGGGAGTTAGAGGCCGAGCCCACGGAGACAGTTTATGGGAAGATCCTTGTAAACCTGAAAACGCTGCATAAATATGAAGTCCTACTATCTGTTCATAGAACACCCCTGGCCTACAGTGTCTGCAGCTCTATTCATCTTTAAAGTAGCATATGCTCTTCACGAAGGCCGTGCCACGGACAGAAAGACGGTCCTGTCAGGCTCCCTTCCCTTCCCTTCCCTTCCCTTCCCTCGTTTCCAGGAAAACAAGCCTCACGTTTTGCTTGTGAAGAACACAGAGGCTCTAGGAAGACTCAGGTGGACACCCCTGCCGGGCGGGTGCTATGTGGGAAGTCAGCGCGGACATGGCGCTTGTCGTAGCCATTTGCCGGGCGTTTTGTTGGGGGCAGCCTTCCTCCGTGAGGAAGAGCCCGGCCCGTCCTGGGCGGCGGGCACCCTGTTTCACACCCACCCTGCGTCCAGGCTCTACAGCGCTCCGTAGAGCCAGCTTCAGGTGTACTCAGTGTGACCACGTCTGGAAGACCCTCTCTGAAGCGCCTGGAAACACGCCCACAGTTCCCACGGCTCCTTCCAGGAGATAAAACTCAGTCTGCATGTAAACCGGTTACCGCTGAGGAACTGTTCTGTCCAAAGGCCAAAGCGGATGGAACGAGCAAATTGCTCTCCCAGGTTTCATCTTTTTAAAATTTTATTGTAACTTCAATTAATGAATTATTTTTACAGTGGATCTCCTTCCCTCGCCCGGGGCCTGCAGAGTGCGCAGTGAGCTTTTCTGACCCCCGTATCCTGATTTAGTGATTCGCTTGACTTTCTCTATGTGACTCCATTTTTATTTCCTACTCTTACCTTCCTAATGGAGGTGTAGTTGACATCTAACATTACACCAGCTTTTGGTGTTATAATCTTCCTATTTCTACAATCTTGTGGAAAGGGGTTAAAAAACTCAGGAAGGTGTTGGGCAAACCCAGTAGTTTGCGACCTGCTGAAATTCAGGGGGCAGTTACGTGGGCCCTGGGCATTTTCTCCCGCTCGGTGCAGCTGACCTTCCCCGCGGTTTTATTTGGCTGCACTGCACAAATTCGTGGAGGTATCTCAGCCGTGGGAAGGAAAACAGGTCACGCCTGACATTCTCCACCGACGGCTGAACCAGTTAATCACGGCCCGGCGGGCGCTGGAGGGTGAGCTGAGCAGAAAGGCCACAAACAGCCGGGCCACCTCCATTCGCGCAGTTCAGCTGCACCCGAGGGTGACACCAGGGCCGACGCAAAGACGTCCCTGTGCAAAAGGGCCGGTGGCGAAACGAAGGTGGCCTGTGTCGCAGACATATCACCAAAGGAGCTCTTAAGAGTGTGGAGACAGTTACCTCTCCGCGAGGCTTCGAAGCTGTCGAAAAGGTTAATCCTCTGGACGTCGTAGGTCAGTGTGGTGTTGGGCATCAGGGTTCGATTGCGGTTGATGCTGGTGACGGCGAACTTGAACGCTAATTCTTCGACGTTCACAGGCTCGCTCTCCGCGGTTTCAAAGATGCCCCCTGCAGAAGCAACAAGACGCGGGACAGCGTTAGTCACAGAATCCACGCAGGTCTTTTAAAGAGCAGGATATAAATGACTCAAACAAGAGGCGCAGCAGACTGCAGGTTGGCCCGCTCGGAAGGGGCCCCAGCCCCGGGTGACGGCGGCCTCATCAGCCCCCGATCAGCGGGTCTGATTTCACACCCGTGCTGGCGATTCCAAGGCCACCGCTGGACCGTAGGGCACCTCCCACGTGGCAAATGTCGTCCAAGTGTTCAATGCCGTGGAGAGTGCTCCTGATGATAACATGGCGACCGCGATTTTCTGGGGTTTCACGTGAATCATGCCGTTGTCAACCTAACCATAGTTTGAGCTGTGTGTTCACAAGCGGACTTTCTAGGCTCTAGGGGGTCGTGCGGAGAGCTGGGGGGGTCAACATGAGGCGCGGACACTGAGAGTTTTCGGAATTAGAGCGTCTGCCCCTGGTGGCCCACAATTCCGGGCCTTACTGTGCACCTTCCACAGTGCGTGGGACCGTCTTTTTTGTTTGCTCTTTTGTTTTGAGTGCTTTCAGGGACCCTTTGGTCCTGCTCAAAAGCACCTAATCTCTGGCGAAGTAGGAACAAGAACATAGGAACTAGCCTCTCCTACCACTTATCCACTGACCCCCAAAAGCACAGAACTGGGGGAAGTGAGTGAAAGTACACACAGGCGCTCGTGTGTATCCAGAACACAAATGCCCAGATAAGAAAAGTGACGTAAACACACACAGTCTCGGGAAATGTATTGAGAACTTATAGGAGCAGAAACCAGAACTGCTGTTCGTGTCACTGCTTAAAGTGATGGCAAGAGGCGGTGCTGTCAGTTAACAACGTGACGCTGAGAGACAGGGCCTCGGGTTCATCCCCAGGTTGCCGACTCAATCGTGGCTCAGAGGGATGGCATGGGCCTTGCACCTGGCGAAACGGTACTTAAATGATGCCTTTATTATGCACAAGACAGAGCTCTGCAAGTGCAGGTGTGAGGAGCACTTGAAATCGGCAAAGCTTGATTGCGTGTGTTGATTGACCACTTAGACCTGAAGTGGGGAGTTGTCGGAGTCTGAGAAGCACTGATGGAGCCCATGAGCTTGGCCAGAGATGCCCGTTACTCCAGACTCTATAGCTGGAGCCCTAGGGTGTCTTATCTCAGCCCTTGTCACGCAACACGCTCTGTGCATTTCTGCACGAGGAATCTGGGAAAGAAAAATTGTGAAGCCTGTTTCTGTAAAAATGATGACGTACAGAACTTACAGGGACATTTCTATTGCCTCTGCTCCAAACTCCAGCTCATGTCAAAATAGATTCAATTTTGGAGATAAAGAAGTGGGTTCAAAGTTCACACCTTGGGCCAACAGTTAGGTTATAAGGTATAGAAATGCTCTTGCTCTATCCAGATGGAATTGTTTCCTAATGATGGTGCATTTTGTAGTCTCTCAGCTTCATTTGCTCAGGACTTGAGTAATTTTTCCCTCGGTCCGTTGGAAGAGTCAGTTGATGGGTCGGTGGCAGCGTGGGAGGTCCCTGAACCCAGCTCGTTCCACCGACACCTCGAACGCGCTCCCACATGCAGGAAATCTCCCCTGAGAAGAACCGAGGCTGATTAAAGGGCTCTGCCCAGCAAGGGAGAGGGGGCCAGGCGGGGAGGGTAGGCGAGGTGGGGACATGGTGATGGTGAGCGATGGTCTTCATCACCGGGGAGGATTGCTGAGGGGCGTGGGCGCAGACTCGCTCGCCTGGGCAAGGTGGAAATAGCAGTTCAGAGGGCGCCTGGACCGTATGTGAAGAAAAGAAACGTGTTTACTAACCTGAGAGCATCGGCCAGTGGGCCAGGGACTGCTGGACTCTCTCTCTCTCTGTACATGAAATAATACAGGGTGGGCAAGAGTAGACCTACAGGTGTTCATATGGGAAGCAATACCGTGATTAATAAATAATAATAGAAGAATAAATTCTTGTGTTTTGCACACGCACAACTGTAAACTACTTTTGCCCCACCCTGTAGGACATGGATGAAAGGAATTAAAGATGACAGATGTAAATGGGAGCATATACCATGCTCATGGATGGAAATAATATCATAAAATGTCCATAATACAAATTCAATGCAATGCCAAAAAAATACCAATGTAATATTTCAAAGAACTAGAACAAAGAATCCTAAAATTTATAAGGAACCACAAAAGACCCCTAACAGCAAACACACTCTTTATAAGGAACTAAGCTGGAGGGATCACAGTCCCTGACTTCAAACTCTACAGGCACCCCTCTGCTCACTGTGGTTTTGTGTAAGAACCAGAGCAACCTCGGTGCTAGAAGAACAGATGAAGCTGTGGTACATCCATGACACAGAGTGCGACTCAGCCATAAAAAAGAGTGAAATCTCGCCCCTCGTGACAACACCGGTGGACCTGGAGGGAATCACGCTGAGTGGAATAAGCCAGACGCAGAAAGACAAAGACCGTGTCACTTCACTCGCCCGTAGAATTGAAAAAACCACAGCTCGCGGACCCAAGAACCAAAGTGGTCGACACCGGGGGGAGGGGTTTAGAGGCACAAACTCCCGGTTATAAAGCAGTAAGTCCTGGGGGCTTGACGACGGCATAAGTAATAGTCAATAATGTTGGGATAATTTTACAGTGGCAGGTGGGAGCTAGAGGGATCATGAAGGTCATTTCAAAATGCACGTAAACAGCAAATCACTGTGAGGTACACCTGACACTATAGGGTCTTGCCTGTCAAGTACATGTCAATAATAAACCGATAAATAAAATGAAGTAATGGGGCACTTTCTGCTGGGATGGGCGTATCTGTCATCTCGCGGCAGAAAGAACAGTGTGTAGAATTTTCAAAGCTCACGGAAACAAACCATTCGTATCTATGCTTTGAAAACAGGAGTCAATCGACAAGGCAGGACCCTGAAGCTTTTGGGATTTTCCATCAAAAAAGTCTCTGTTCTGAGTCTTAGAGAACAGTTTGTACTTTCATGTTCGTCGGCGTCTACATTTCTTTGCAGGAGTGTAATTTTTGTAAAATCAGGCCTGTGTTCTTCCAGGAGAACCAAAAACACACGGGCTTCAACTACCGCATGCGTCTCAAAGAGGGAAGGATGGGAGCGTGGGTCCCAGAGGTGCTTAGTTTTCCCTCCGCCGGCGTGGCCCTCGCTCTCTGTCAGGAATCTTAGCTTTGATTCCGTGTCCACGGTCCCCTCGACAGCAGCCTCCGCACAAAAGAAACCTCCCATCGTGCTATCGAACCGTGAGATGCACCGTTTCCCAGGGGACCGGTTTGAACGGAGAGAGATGTTTCCCAAAGGACCAGGCGGCATAACTCACATTTCGAGACTGCTGAGCGACTGGTCCCTTCCCCCCTTTTAAAGAAAAAGATTATTTATCTTGATTTGCTCACATAATGTATTACACAGGCCAGAGCCCATTTCATAAATACAGGTTAAAAGCTAATTATAGTAGAAAGCCATCTCTGAATTCTTTCTTGTTTCTAAAATGCTTTTAAGTAGGAAAGAAACCTGAGATGCTCAAGACTTTATTACAATTTAGACCCTCTGATTTCTAATTAGATTTCTCCTGGTCATGTTTCTACATCTAAAAGAAGTAGTGAATAAAATTATTCATCCAGATAATAAATAGCACCCCTACTACGGCTTCCCCATCCCCAAGCTCCATTAATCACAGTCGTGCCATTAAATGCAAATACGGTCTGTGTTTTGGAAACTGTGCGCTTGTTTCTCAGATAATCATGTCACTTCACTGTCTCACTTCCCGTGTAAGATACGGCTTCTCTGACCTTGAGCCGATTAGTCCAGGGACATGTCTCCTCCTTTGCAGACGAGTGTCCACGAGGGACGTCGCCCATCTCCGACTCAGAAGAACCCGCGCACCCCTCGTCCCTGTGCTGGTCTGCACGCCTGGGGGTGCAGCTCCTTCCCATCAGGCACTGCGCTGGGCGTGTTCCTTTGAAGTTCACGGAGCCCCTCCCCCCCCCAGGGCATGGGAGCAGCTATGACCTAGGGAGCTGATCACAGAGGAAACTGAGACTCCAGCAGCTCTGCACAGCCGGTCACGGAGCTTCAGGGGTGCCTCTGAGGATGAGATCGTGGAGCCCCCCCACAGCGGGCAGTTGTCCAGCTACTCCCCGCCCCCCAGAACATTCACGTTTGGCTCGGGAGCATCTGCACGAGAGATCTCTGCTTCCGCAACGAAACACAAGCCTCCATAACCATTGTTAGATTTCACATCCCACCCATATTACGAGGACACCGTCTACTTACAATCAGGATCCTATGACTAGTAAGTGTCTAGAAAGATGGCCAATGAAACGTTGATAGCAGTGAATTTTAGGAAATTGGATTGTAGATGATTTTTAATTTCTCTTTATCTTGATTTTGAATTTTCTTCAAGTGACATCAATTAATTGGTAATAAGATATTTTTACATGTTTACTTGTAAAAATGTATAACTTGGATATTTTCCACTTTAAATGATAAAATAAACTCTATTCATGCCTTTAATTTTGAAATTTGAGAATGCTAATATGTTATTCAACAAATACTTTGAATTATTAGCTAATGGAATTTTATCTTCATTATAGAGGCATCTAGTATAGAATCTTAGCCATTAAATTTATTTCAAGTATTTCTTGTTTTAAAGAAAAATGTTATCATTTAATGTTTCATTGTGTTTTGCAGATTTGGTAAGCTACTGGCTTTTATTTTCCTTATCAGTAGCTTTAGAATAATTTTTCTCATATTTCTGAGATGATTAAAATCAGCAGGCCCGGGGAAGGGAAACTTATTGAAACACAAAAACAGATAAACAGGTTCCCACAATCTACAAGTGAGAAATGAAGAAATTTCTTATTGGTTTTAATAACCTCCCCGGTTGATTCTTATCAGAGACGCTGGGAAACACTATTTTAAAATATGTCTTTATTGATTTTAGAAAGAGAGGAAGAGAGAGG